CGCGAGATTCAGACTGCGATCCGCCTGGTTCTTCCAGGTGAACTCGCTAAGCACGCCGTTAGCGAGGGAACCAAAGCAGTGACCAAGTTCACTTCCGCCTAAGGTCCGCTGGCAGTTGTGACCATTTCAAGGCGTTTCTCAACGCCATCTTTCTAACCGTGTGCAGGAGTTTGTCGTTTCTCAATCAGGTGTTTTTCCTGTTTGTTTTACCGCTGTTTTACCATATTTGTTTCAGAACATGCATTCGGTAGTTTCTTCGAAGACTCGGGTTCGTTAAGCACTCTAACGTCAATTAGCATTCCGCGATGACTGTCAAAACTAGCATTAAATCTGGAGCTCATCCCAACTATTCTGCTATGGTCAAGCAGGCCCTCACCACATGCAAGGGGTTCCAGAAAATGAGTCGCCAGGCCATACTCAGCTTCATTAAGCAAAACTTTGGTGTCGAGAACAAGGCTGCTTTGAACAAGGCTCTCAAAGCTCTCGTAGATTCTGGCCATGTCTCTCAAGCGAAGGCGTCATACAAGCTTGCTGCTGGGCAGAGGGTTGCCGCGAAGAAACCCGCGGTTGCGAAGAAATCCAAACCAACAACTTTGAAAAAGAAGGCTTCCACGAAGAAAGCCTCTACTAAAAAGACCACCACGAAGAAGACCACCACGAAGAAGACCACCACGAAGAAGACCACCACGAAGAAGACCGCTAGAAAGCCGGCCGCTCCGAAGACGAAAAAAACCGCAGGCACCAAGAAGGCTTCTATCCGTTCGAAGGCATCCGCGAAGAAGCCGGCGTCCAAGAAAATCAAGAAGGCGGCGACGAAGAAGCCTGCTGCCAAGCGGTCGGCGAAGTAATTTCCACTGTTTCGGCAGAACCTCTTTGCAGATGACCAATATTTACAAGGCGTTATTTGGCGCCATCAAAATCAGCAGCATAAGTTTCTTTTCACGAGGAGAAGAGCACATATTTTCTGAGACAGAGCGTTTTGTCACTCTTTTAATCAGAAAATGTGCCCCATCATGGCAGACTGCTTATCCTCTCGTACGAAATAAGCAGTAGCAAACAGCAGTAATCTTCTCAAACAAAATATGTCCGGTAGAGGAAAAGGCGGTAAAGGTCTCGGAAAGGGTGGTGCTAAGCGCCATCGCAAAGTCTTGCGCGACAATATCCAGGGTATCACAAAGCCTGCGATTCGCAGACTTGCTCGTCGTGGTGGTGTGAAGCGTATCTCTGGCCTCATTTACGAGGAGACCAGGGGCGTTCTCAAGGTCTTCCTGGAGAGTGTCATCAAGGATACAGTTACCTACACCGAGCACGCGCGCAGGAAGACTGTAACTGCCCTTGATGTTGTTTATGCTCTGAAGCGTCAGGGCAAGACCCTCTACGGCTTCGGAGGTTAGAGAATTCCATCTGCAAATGGCAAGAACAATACCACGGTGTTATTCAACACCATCTTGGGCTCATATCAGATATTTCTCACTTGAATATTATCATTCGGCCAATATCTATCGTAATCGACCCCTAAAACTG